CCCGCCGCCCCGCGGCCCCCCGCCGCCCCCGGCGCTCACCTGGCCCGCGGCTGCGGCTGCGGATCCCGGGCCGGGCCGGGCCGCGCGGGCGGACAGACGGCGCCGCAGCCCACAGCCGCCGCGGAGCGCAGCCGGCACCACCACAAACAATGCCGCTGATTGGGCAGCGGCCCCGCCGCGCTCGGCCCGCCTCCCGACCCCAGCGACGACGCCCATTGGCTCGCGTCGCGGACGGACGGGGCGGCGCGCCGATCGCGCTCGCGGATGCCCCCGGCGAGCCCGCCTCCCGCTCCTTACTGGCGGGCGGGGGTGATGATCGGCGCGCGGCGAGGCCAATCGGAAGCCGAGGAGCTTCCCCGCGGGGCGCCTTTAATGGGTCCCGGCGCCTGGACATCCGGGCATTTCGCCGGCCGCTTTATGTGTCGGCGGGCAAAAAAAAAAAAAAAAAAAAAAAAAAAGAAAAAAAAAAAATCGCAAGAACCCTCCGCCCCCGCGCGCCGTTCGCTGGGGACTTTGGGCCCAAAGCGGCCGCCGTACCGCCGGGCCGGGCCCACGTGGCGGGGCTGCACGTGCCCGCGGCGAGGCCGCGCCCGGTACCGGGCAGAACCCGGCGGGCTTCGGCAGCCTCGCTAGGCCTCAAGATGGCCGCCGGGCCGGGCCGCCGCTCTGGCACGTCTTGCCGCTCTCTATGGTGCCATGGCGGCCCCCCGCCCCCGGCGGCTCCCCCCCCCCCAGTCCAGAAGCAGGCGGCGGGGGGAGGCGGGCGGAGAAAATACTGCGGCGGCTTTATTGACATCGGCGCCCCGGGGGGGGGGCGGGGAGCCGTATTGCACAGTGCGGGGTGCCCCCCCCGGGGGGGGCTTCCAGTGACGGGAGGAGGAATAAATAAAAAATAATCATATCTATGAACACTGACATAAAAAACCCGCGGGGCTGCGGCGGGGGGGGGGTCGTGTGCGCCCCCCCGGCCCCTAACACTCCAGCGGGGCCCCGAAGCTCTTGCGGCAGTCCATGGCTTTGGAACTGGGGGGCTGCGCCCGCCGCCGCCGCAGCTCCTCCTTGCCCAGGCTGCCCGCCAGCTTGCTGAACGCGGAGCGGTACTTCTTGTCGAACGCGGCTGCGGGGGGGCTGTGAGTAGCGCTTCCCCACGGAGCCCCCACAGAGCGACCCCCCCCCCACATGGAACC